CGCCTATCAAGTCTCGGCTGCCAAGCCTGCTTGTTTTCTCAACCAATTCTCGGTTGAGGGGATCTTTGGTGCTTTCTGCAACCGTAACCACTTCCACGAATTCAGAGACTTCGGCAGTTTCCCCAATATCAGCCACTTCGGCAACCTTAGCGACCTTGGCAATCCTTTATTTTAAAATAATACCCTTCTAGACCATTCTCCCACAGTTGGTGATGAGATCGCCAGAGCAATCTATCATCTGCAGAATTAATGGTTGTCCGGGTAAAAGTATAACCTGAAACAAAATATTGTGTGCTCAAAAGGGCAAAAAGTGGCAAAAGGGGAGAACCGGGATAGAACATGGGACCTCTCACACCCTAAGCGAGAATCATACCTCTAGACCATTCTCCCACAGTTGGTGATGAAGACAAAAAATTGAAGTTTATCAAGGAGGAGGAGAAGGAGGATGATTGTTGGGTGGGGGAGCACATAGCCACAGGGCAAGACGCAGAATTCACAAACCCTAGCTCAGACTACGACGACGACGACGAAGCAAACGATTCCTTCCCGAAGTCGAAGGCGAGTGCCGGACGGAAGCGCAAGGCCAAGGAGGGTTGTGGTGGTGAGGGTCAGGCTAAGAAGCTTCGGGGGAAGGGAATAGCGCAGACCGATAACAAGGATCCCGCCCAGGGCCCTTGCCCTGAAGGGTGCAAGGGACATTGTATCGAGGGTGAGTATTTTGGGGGCCCTCATCCCTGCCAAGGCGTCCTCGGGTCCAGGTGCAGAGGCGAGGGGCTCCACTGGGAGCACTGGAAGTCTTGTGGGAAGAAAGCCAACCAGCCAAGAAAGCCAAAAGCTTCGGGGGACTTGTCCATGGTTCCTCTACGCTCCTTGAAGTCCGCCACCATCTTGCGAGCCTGCTCGCTCCACCACCCAAAGAAGGGCTCCTCTCGCCAGTCGTGAATGAGAGAGCGGTCTGCGCCCTTGTTCTTGTCGTAGACTGCGCGACAGTTGCCGCAGAGGAGGTAGATGATCTCTGCACAGGCCTTGATGTCTTTCGCTGACTGGTTGGCGAGGTTGGCGTCGCGGTAGTAAAAGATGTCGGGGTCCTTGGTGGCGCGCTTCTTGATAGTCGGCATGAGGGCGCGGGTGAGGGTAAGGGTGCGGGTAAGGGTGCGGGTAAGGGCGGGGGTGCGGGTGCGGGTGAGGGTGCGGGTAAGGGCGCGGGTAAGGGTGCGGGTGAGGGTAAGGGCTCCAACCGCCCCACCTCCACTCACGAGGCACACGTGGAATCTTTGTACGAGGGGTTTGCCGACCGTCTCAGAGATGTATTCCGTTCCTCACGCAGTTTCCCCATGCTGGATCGCGAAGAGTTGCTAACCTCCCGCATCGGCCAGATTGACGAATGGGGAGGATTTGCGATTATTTCCGGGATTTTTGCTCCTCCCTCTCGCAGAACCCTCAACGACGTGGTAACTGCGGTTATGGGTCGCGAAGGCCCCCACAGCGGCATCTGCAACGCGAGGATGAGTCTACCTCTCCTCTATTATTATTCTGCCTTCCCGCGATGGGTCAGTTCGTTGATGTCGAGCATCTCAAAGTCCAACGCGGCCCGGGAGATCCATCCTAACGAGAAGAGCTATCGCCAGGACATTGCGGATGCTGCGAGGTCCCCTGACCCTTCCTAGATGACTCAGCTCTCTGCTCCTTTCGACGAGCCCCCCGACTATCCCCCACTCGACCTGGCTGAGGCTGCGTCATGCGCTCGATCGATCAAGATGATCTACAATCTCCCTGGAGCGCAGGGTCAACGTAGCCTCGCCCTCCCTCGCCAGGGGATGCACCGCGACTTCGACGATGTACTGGAGGGGGGTGCCATGCCCTTTAGTGTGATCATTGGGCTGGAAGGCGGCACCTCGATGTTGGTTGAGGTGGTTGGGCTTATTCTCCGCGTCCCGATCCTTGAGGGTGATGCCGCGGTAATTACTGCTTCCACACGTGCTCGTCCGCCAAACGTGCCTGTATCCTCCTCCCCCCCCTCCTCCTCGCCCTCCTGATAGATCTCTGCTGGAATTGGACAACATCCCTCGCTATGGAAACGACGACGCGCAGAACAACGGGCACTCCGCCTACTACTGTCGGGTGTTCGTATCCAACGCGGCGCATGGTGAACTCTTCAGTATCATCAACAACGATTACTGGCAGAGGGCGCGCCGAGACGGAGCCGGCTGCCTCTTCCAGCTGAAGGATAATGCGAACGTGGTTTACAAGTTGACCGAGAAGGAGGCAGCTGTGTATGATGGCCGATCCTATAAAGAGTGCCGTGGAGTCAGTGCTTCAGCTTCCCACTCAGCCTCGTCCTCCAGCTGGTCTCCCTCTTCAATCTACTGGTCACCCTCGCTCTCATCGACCCCCTCCTCCAGTTCGCCCTGCTCGTCGATGACGGTCTCCAGGTCCTCCTCCGCCATCTCGCTCCCAAACCCTGTTGCCAACTCTGGGGGTGGTGAAGAGCCGACACTCTCCTCGTCAGCCCACCTCCTCATCGAATAAACTTTCGAGGCGCTCATATACGCGACCGGTGAGGCCGTGCGGCATGGGCAGCTAACCGACGAAAAGATCGCCTCCATGGAGCTCGCGCGCAAGTCCTGCCACGGGCTCCGGGAGACGTTTCCCTCCCTACTGATCAATCAGTTCGCGATTTTGCGCCTGCCGAGCCGCGAAGAAGGGCTGCCCGCGCTGATCTTTGGGGGGCTTGCTGTGCATATCACCATTATTGAGAAATTCCATGCCCATGAAGTCGGCCTCGAGGGGCACGATAACACTGAAGGGCATGGGGTCCCCGTCGGCGACTTGAGTGAAGTCCCAGTGAAAGTGTTGCCTGGCGAGGGGAAGGTAGCTGGGTCCAAGCCACTTTATAAAGGAGCTTGACTCACCTAGGGCATGCGGCCGAGTCCTCGAGGTCGAGGTGCGGATGGAAGGGAGGGTCCTCGACTGGGACAGACAGCGGTAGGTCTGGGGTCGAGGTTCGCTGCGACAGCGTAACCGGGGGGATCGGGCCAGCGCGATGGGCCAGCTCGTTGATGTCGAGCATCTCAAAGTCCAACGCGGCCCGGGAGATCCATAAGTCACGGACCTCCGAGGACTTCAAGGTCAGTGCCTCATCTCTACGTTGTCTCTTGTAGAATTAAGGAAAATGCCTCCTTCCCTCCTCCCCGTTCAATTATAATAACAGGAAGGAGAAGGAAAGGAGGAAGGAGGAAGGAGGAAGGAAGGAGGAATGACGAAGGACGGAAGGCAGCATCTAGAGAGAGGAGGAGAGGAGAGGAGAGGAGAGGAGCGGAGAGGAGCGGAGAGGAGAGGGGAACGCCCCACTGCAAGTCTCGCACTTCCGGACTTGCAACTTTGCTAGCAGCTGTCCCGGACTCGGGATGCCGGGAAGAAGAGGAGCATTAAAAGAGAGCCTTGCCCTCAAGCAGTCACCACAGACCTCTGCATCAGACGGAGTGCACTTTGGCGTTATGGTGAAGGCGTACTTAACGAAACACGGGGAATGCGTCCCTGTTTCCCCCCCACAAGTCCCTATGCGACGCCAGTCCCTACCACGGAAGTTGCTACCACGCCAGTCGCCTATCAAGTCTCGGCTGCCAAGCCTGCTTGTTTTCTCAACCAATTCTCGGTTGAGGGGATCTTTGGTGCTTTCTGCAACCGTAACCACTTCC